GTATGCAAGGCAGTTTTGATTAAGTCACCAATCTTGAGTGCTTTTCCTGAGCATGTATTATTCTGTAGGCCTGGGGAAGAACAACTATCTGTTTTTGGCCTGTGACAGGGAAGCTGAAATATCCCTGCATTTCTTTACCATTTCCCATTTTCCCTGCTTCTCACAAATTGAACAAAAAATGAAACCAAGCGAATATTAGCTTTACAGAAAGACACATAAATCTGAAGTTTTTTTCCTCACAGTAGGACATTTCAAAACTCATAATCTCATGTATGAATTTTGTAGAGTCACTATTGCTCATTCTTGTGAGTCCTGTTCCCTTAGATTGAAATTGACCAATGAATCTCCAAAAGCTAGTAAGTTTAAATTTTGAACTTTTACTCTGTGTTGGGCAAAACATCAGGGAAAGAGCTGGCATGCTGACAGCTAAATATCTTTGGAGAGAGAAAAAGGAGGCTGACCCATTAGAGCCATCTTTCCAAGAGTTTTTTTGCTCCTTCTCCCTGTAAATTGCAGCTGGAGTTGTTCTGGCAACACTAATGGCATTAGGATCTGAAAGCTCTTGATCAATTATAGCAGGCAGTTTCAGGCAGTGGGAGATCTGCTGCTAGTCTGACTGGCAGTGCATCTTTTCCAGAGCTCTCACTGTCCTTGTCTCTATAAACAGATGATAAGTAGAAATTATTTACACTGACGGATGAGAATGGCATCTTTTCTTGATGTCTCATGAACCTCTTTTGCTTTTAGAATAAATCTTAGCAGTGTGAGGGGAATAGCTAAGCATAAAATACAGGCACAGAAGGCTGACATCTCTAAACAACAATTATCAGATTCCTTTTTGCAATAAGCAGAAGGCTTTTTCATGTATGTAGAAGTCTGTTTAATATTTCATGGACTCCTAAATTATTCACAGGTTAGAGTGCTCAACTGTTACTGTCATTTAAAGAGCAAGTGCCCAGCAGGAGTGTTGCATGGGACTTTGTAGATCACGTCGAAGCATAACATTTGGTTCATTAAAGAAGTGTTATACTTCCAAAGGTAACAGCATCCAATTTATACTCTGTTAATCCTGGCCTGGCTAATAAAGGACATTATGAGATTGCTTCTTTTGATCCTTATCTATCTGTGCAGTAAAACTTTTCACCATCTGACAACAAATCTGGGATCCCATGTCACCTGGTATGGTTCCTAGAAAACCTGTGAACTCCGTTAGATGGAGAAACTGTCATTTTTTTTCTTGCTAAGGAAACTTCCCAGTCTGACTGCTCAGGAGAGTGCTGGTCACATTCCAGTGTCAGAGACTTTCACTGCTGGCATTGAAACTGCTTCATGCTGGGTGGCTCCAGTGACCCAGTGGGTCCCCACTTGACTCCTAACATACCCCATTCAGACCAGGTTTCCTCAGCAGTTCAACCCCAGATTTCCCATGACAAAGTCCTAGATGTCTTGTTCCATCTTGTTCCAAAGCCATTTCACAGTGCAGTAACACAGGAACAGCCAGAGCTAGTGCCTCTGAGGGGGATTCCCAACCAGGGAGCCCCTTGGTATTTATACTCTCACAGTCTCTGGAAGTCTCCTCTTCCTCCTGAGTCTTTGGCTCCTGTCCCCCTCTTGTGTCCATCCACCTTGCTGGCTCACTGGTTTTCATCTCCTTTGTTACCCAAAAGGCTGCAATTCCCAGCTCTCCTGCGTTTCCCAGTGTCCGTCCACCTGGCTGGTGTCACCCACCATGATGCCCTGTGTTATCCCAAAGGCTGGCAGCTCATGGCCTCTCTTCTCAGGCCTGGAGCTCTGCATTTCAATCTGCATCTCAGTTTGCAGCTTGTGAGCCCAGCTACTTGTACTTCACGTGTTCCTCAACATTCTGCACTCATGGATAACTGAGACAATATGTTTAGTTTTGAACATAGTTTCTAACACTGCTCAGTCTTCCAGAAATGGTATTCATGAACAGAGTATCTAGAGCTTGACATTGATGTAAATCAGGGTCACTCCCCAAACTTTGTCAGAAACTGAGATCTAGCTATTTGCCTCCTAAGGAAATGTTATCCCTGATCTTGTCATTTTCTCAAGCTTTCCCTGCTCAAATAAAGTGAAGGTAGTAAAATTAAGTTCCCATGGTTTATTTTTGGATTTGGGTGTCTGCTTGAATTCCTTGAATTTTCCTAAAAAGCACTTTTGGAAATAAAGCAGGAAAATCAAAACTGAGGAAGAGGAGGAAGGAAGTTTTCTTTACTTAAATGCCTCTTTGGCAAGGACTGTTGTTCCTTCTCTGCATTTTCTAAGCACCATTTACTACTGGATAGTGGTTTGTGCAGTTCCTCGGTCCCATCGGTAATTTAAATAACTTAAACACAGTGAAAGCTTGATTTGTTTTTTCTATGAAGTACCTGTCCTCCCTATGCTCCTGCTTCATGGGACCCTTTGACTCTGATGCTATGTAAGGACATGTAAATACCTGGTGGCAGTGGGTGGCCACACCAGTGCAGTGGCTGTACCCAAACAACCGTCCTGACCCTTGCCCAGGCACGACTCACCCATGTGGAGAGGTCTAAGGGAAAGCATCCCTGAGGTATTTCCTAGTTGCTCTTGGGATGCTGGGGCTGTGTGGAGGACGCAGCTGTGCTCGGGCTCCCCCCAGCACTGGGCTGGCAGCCTTTGGGCTTGCTCTCCCACCAAGAGCTTTGCCATGACCTTCTTGAGCTCTTTGTCTTTAATAGAAGTGAAGGGAAAAAATAAAGGCTTGTCATGCAAAAAATTTTATTATCTTGGGATGCTGGGGCTGTGTGGAGGACGCAGCTGTGCTGGGGCTCCCCCCAGCACTGGGCTGGCAGCCTTTGGGCTTGCTCTCCCACCAAGAGCTTTGCCACGACCTTCTTGAGCTCTTTTGTCTTTAATAGGAGTGAGGGAAAAAAATAAAGGCTTGGCAAACAAATTTATCAGCTTGCTGTTGATCATACTGGTAGGGAACTCAAGAAGGATACAGTAAAGTTGCTTAGGAATTCCTTATGAGGTGTTAACCAAGATTTTTTACAAGAGAGAGGAAGATGTGTATAAGCCAGGATGAGCCTTTCCATTTGTATGCTCATAAGAAACTGCACATTGTTTAGTACTGATTTTCCTCAAGAGAGGGAGTTTAATTCTGTGTTTTATGGACAGATTTCTCTCCAAACAGTAACACTTTATTACTCCATTTTACAACACAAGCAGTCATACAATTTCTAGAAATATAGAGCATATGTGGAGAAGGGGAACACCCCTAGTACCTTTTGCAAAACAGGGAGAATTACTGCAGTGTTGTTCACAAGGTCCTGAAAGGGGAATCCTCTTTAGAAACATCAGAAAGATGGGCAGTGGAGGCAATAGTGTCCATCAATCTTCAGCTGATGTCCAGGAATCATTTCTGTGTGTGCTCGTGCTTGCCAGCTGACCCAGCTCCTTGCTTCAAAAGCACTGATTTCTTTCCAGTCCTCAGAGCTGCTTTTTATTTCTTAAAGCTGCTGTGCTGACTCTTCAAAGGGTGATGGATTTCCATTTGATGAGTGGCAGAGTTATCTGTCCATGTCTGTTAATTACATGGAAAAATTTCTCCATGACATGTTTTCAGAGTTGTAACAGCATAATTTCTTGCTCTGTATCTGTGGGGTCTTGAATGGAAAGAATGGGATGGAATGTTATGATTTGAGGTAGTTCAGATATTTGTTTTCATTTTGGGGTTCAGAGGCTTCCTCAGGTTGTGTGTTTGTTTCATAGAAACCTGCTGAAATAATTACAATTTGGTATTTATCTCTGTGAAAAATAGTTTCCTTAAGCACTTTCTGTGCAGGAGCAGAGAGGCTAATACCATGCTTTTGACAGAGAGCTATTTTTACACAATTATTAGTCCAACCCCTCAGTAACATGATATCAGGAAACAAGAATGATAATATGACACTGTGCTAAGTGAACTCAAATCAAGAAACTAAGAGGACTTTGTTGGGATTAGAAACTTGATACAGTCTTTTCCTTTATCACTGAACTATATTTTCCAGAAGATAGATGTGTTGGATTTTTCCAGCAGTGAGGTAAATAACTTACGGGGGGCTCAGGATGGCCACGTTTCAGAGAAATGAAATGTGTGATAGGCTGGAAACAGGGTGTATTGTATATCACAGCAGGAGATAGCCCAGCCTGTGACAGGGTGAAGAGTCTGCAGGGCTTCTTCTGGCGTCCATGTCATCATCTCTCCCACACAGAGTTTTGAGCACACACTTGGACCCCAGCAGCAGCCAGGCAGGAAAATATTGCAAGATAAATATTGTGGAATTTCCTTCAGCTGTCATTTGTGAAGCACAGATTTGCTCCTAGTCTTTTTTACCTCTGCTCACATTTTGGTCATGATGCTAAAGCATGAGATACAGCCTGCTTGTCTCAGGCATCTCATTTATCTCCAAATGGGAGATGCCAGGTGGGTCAGTCCTTCTAAAGTAGATCCCTGAGTTTCCATGCCAGGGTCATGGAAAACTGGCTTTCTCCTGGCAGCCTCCAGCAGAAAGGTCACTGGGCTTTGGCCACTCTCCTGTGTTCTCGAAAGATCAGGAATCTTTCCTGGAATCTTCCACAGGAAATTACCTCTGTTTCACATAGGGGATGTGCTCTGGGAGCATCTGCCTGCTGGATATATGGCAGTCAAGTGTTCAGGCTGGATTGTTGTATCTCACCTGAAGTGTGTATGACTTCCAGTTCCTTCCCAGTGCCAGGTCCTGTCAGAGGTACCCAGCGATGGGGAACCTGGCTCTGCACCACAGGCTGGACTTTGAGCTGCAACCGTGAACAAAGTGGGGCTTTTCTCTAGAAGGTGTTTTAGACAACAAAAGTGCTTCCCATAGGAAAAGTTGTCTGGTCTGTGCTTTGCATGGTGTATCTGGATTAATGCTGCACCTTGTTTCAGCATTTGGTGGTGGGAGGTGAACACGGCGTGTGTATTAAGAGCTGTTTCTGCTCTTCTTTCTGCTTCCCAGGGATATGAAGCTGGATGGTGGACGCCAGTGCCATTCTGCTGGAGTGTGTCTGAAAGAGATAATTGGTCTTGAAGGTGTGGAGCTCGGAGCAGATGGGAAGGTGGGGATGCTTGAGTTCCTACTCCCTTAGATTTTATGTTATAAGGGGAAAAAATGGCTTAACTAATAACAAGCGCAAATACAACATGCAGCGTAACAGAGTGGTTAAAGCACAGAATGTGCAACTGTAAATAAGCTTAGCAGAAACTCATGAGGACTGCCCAAGCTGTCAATGCAGACAACTCTGTATCCTGGAAGAAATTTGCCTCTGGCAATGTCTGAGTGTGTAAAGTATTACTGAATTACACAGCCTTCCCCTTGCTCTAGCAGGAGGTATCACTGCAGTGATTGTCAGGACCTTGAGAATAATTTCTGGTGAGAGTTGTAGTTGTAATCCTATTTGCTTTCAATTGTATTTAATAACATTTTGCTCAGTATTTTTCCAGAGAGCAGGAAGACAGTGGCACAAGGCTGATGAGTCTCTCAAAATCCAGAAGCTCATTCACTTGAATAGAATAAGCAAATATGAATCTTTAGGGAACTCATTGATTTTAAATAAATATATAGAGGAGAGACAGTTTTAATCGTAGAAGAAAACATTTCTTCCTGAAAGCCTGATTTACTTTCTACAGTCCAGTTTTACTCAGACTGCTGTCATCTATGGATTTAAAGGCCCTGGGTCAATGCTGCTACATGTGTTGTGATCACCTAACCAGGTGTCAGGCCAGACCACAGGCTGTAAATTCCTGAGGACAATGTCTGCTTATAAATAATGAAAGCTCACATGCCACATGTTTTATTTGATACGTGTTCTGACCTCCTCGTAAACCAGTCTAGAGTCTCAAACTAATTTTTTTTCTTCAATGCAATGTTATTGTTGGAAAATGAGCCAACAAGAAGCAAGGCATAGCTTTTTCTTGGCCAGGGGTACAAGCAGAGAATCAGTGCACTCTAAAAATAATTTTGTCACAAGTTACTCATTCACACTTAGTCCATGTTGGGGGGTAGTAAATGATCTCCCACAATGATTGCTGTGGACTGGAGCTCACTTATTACATCAATAAGACTCTGCCAGACAAAGTCCTGAGAAAGAAAAATAGCAGAGAAAGTGCTTCAATTTAGCAGTGTTTAAGTGATTTGCCTCTGGCAGCTGTGTGCTGAGGGACCCATATAGATGATGCTAGTTCAGTAAAGAAGCTGCTGAAATGTGATACAGAGAAGGCCCACTGGAAAAAACCTGACCAAACTGATATATTTTTAAATCTGACCCTTGAGTAGGATTTTGTAAATCCAGTGTATTAGAGCTTGTGTGTGTGTGTGTTTGTTTTGCTGAAGAATTAATGCCTTTGCAAAAGCATTTTTACATGAATAAACTGACTGCACTGAAGCAAATGTAGGTGGCTGGTTTATATTCATCTGTGCCTAACTACTAAATCCAGAAAATCCTCCATTAGTTTGCCTTCTCTTGCTTTAAGTTGCAGTGCACCAAAAGCATCCCACTGCATCCAAGCTGGGCTGAAAGTAACTGTCTGTCCATTCTGACTTTTTTTTTAGACGGTTTCTTATACACAGTTCCTATTTCCCACCAATGCTCTGGGAACTCGGAGGAACACAATAGACTCCACCTCATCTTTCTCCCAATTTCGCAATGCAAGCCATCGTAGCCTTTCTTTGGGAAGAGCTAACAGCACCCAGGGGAGCATTGATGCAGGTAATTTCTCAAGTAGCTCTTTTTAATACCCTGTTGGTAGGCAGCTATTGCAAAGGACTGACGTGTTTTAGTCCCCCCATTAGCTTAAATTAAATAAAATACAGTCTTCTGCTGTGGGTGAAGCACAGCTTATTCCATATTTGCTTAGAAAGCTTGCTTGTGGAGGATAGAAGTTAAATAAACAAGCACGTTGGTGGTATTGACAGCCCCAATGGCACCCAGCGTGCCTCCTCCTGTCATCAGCATCGTTTGTTCCTCCTGCATCAGGCTTGTCCTTACCTTTCTTTGCTATGGAAAATTTACAGTGGCAACACAGTAGTCATAAGCTGAAGGTGTAAATTCCACTTGTGACCTTTGTTAGGCTGGAAAGGGCTGTGTTTACAAAACCGGACACAAAACATAAGCCAAAGCACTATATGCTTAAAATATTTTGGCATGATAAATGAAACAAATCAAAACATCTGCTTGAACAGATGAAAACTTGTTGCCGAGAATAAAAGTCATTGTGGAGCCTTATATAATTCTGCAGTTCTATAAGCCCTAAATTCACATTTAGCAGGTAATGTGTAAGCTCTAGGTCCTCTATGTCTTGGCAAATTAATATAGAAATATTTAGAGTTGTCAAGACTTAGAACAATTTTTCATCTCTTTAAAAAAATATTGCATGGAGGTAATATTGTGCATTATCTGTGAACTCATTTGCCACTTCTGTTAAGTTCAGAGATGTCTTGATGCAATGAATTCCTTTCAAAATTCTACATCTAAACTGTTATTTTATAGGTAGCGACCTCGGAGACTTTGTTGAATACGACCCAAATCTTTTAGATGATCCCCAGTGGCCATGTGGCAAACATAAGCGGGTTTTAATATTTCCTTCATATATGGTAAGTGACTCTATGTATGACAGAGGAATTCCCGTAACAAAGTTCTGAAGGTTGAGGTTTCATTTGGCCGTATTTTAAGAAGACTGTTATTATTTTTAATCTGCTAATAAGAGCTGTTCAGAGTGCTTTGTTCTAAATGACAGTTACTTCTCGAGACATGTTAAAACAAACTCTTGGAGGTATTACAAAAGCAAACACTTTTATTACTGCTGTATTTCATAAATGCTTTAGATGAAAGGCTTGTTCAAACAATGCACTCATTCTCTGGCATTCAGAGGAAAATTTATACTTCCTCAAACTAGCACCTATTACAAAATAGGAGGATGCCCATTGGGGTTTTTCTGAAGTCATGAAGCTACACTGTGTTTTGATGCTAATCATTCAGTCTTCTGAACAGCTTGGTTTCCCAGGTATTTATTTCACCATGGGATAGTCCTTCCTTTAATTGCAGCAATTACGAGCAGAGTCTGTATATTTCCCACTATATCCAAACCCTTAACAGTACAGATACATAATTGTTCCGTGGTCTGTGCTCTGACTGATTGTTTTCTGTGGTGAGATACTTCTGTAGCCTTTTTTTGATTGCTCCAAGTCTGTAGATTATTTTAGCAGGACTGTTGCAAGAGGCAGTGCAGTCATACACATGTGAGCATGTATCTGCCTGGATTGTACATCCAGGGTAACAGTAGGCAGTAGGGATAATATTATTTTTTCCCCAAAGTGGTGACCTACTTCTCTTATCTATATACAGATATGATAGGATTTGAAACACTGAGGTCTAAAGTGTTGTCCATGTTCTTGTTTAATTTGGAACAGAAGACATTATTTAAGAAACTGCTAATCTATGTAAAGATACAGTTTTTGTATGTTCTCATCTGCCCCCCATCCTAGGGGTAATTTGGCTCATGGGTGCTCCTTCTTCAAAATAAGCTCTAAGTGCTTCATGTGGATGGAAGATTATCTCCATGCTAACAGGAATGTTCTGTCTGTTGCCCACAGAGGCTTAATTGAGTTCTAAGGCTGTGTTTATTCTAGGTTTTCAAATGGGAAGTCCAGAGTGTCCTCTGCTTACTTGCTACCAGTTTTCCTTTAAGGGCTGGCGAGTTACTTTTTGGCTGCCAACCCGCAAAGTGACAACCTTTTATAGCAACTACATCTGTGTGGGAAAATATTTGTCAGGTTTTGATATGGTTACTGTCATGGACAGTCATGGAACTGTCTTCCCTCAAGGAGAAAGCCATTGTTAGCCAACATCCGAAGGGAACATAGCTCTAGCAGTTGTGGCTGTGTTTCTGACCTTCCTCAGGCTGCGAGTGTCTGCCAGGCAGTACAAGTCCCCTAGAATCACCTGAGACCTTTGATCCCCTTTTAGCTTGATGTTCTCATGGACATGGTTAAATGAGTGAAAATGAAGCAGCCAGGATGGCATCTTGCAAGGGAGTTCTCCATCCAGGAATGGGTATTCAGTGCCATTCTTCTCTGTATGTTGGTTGTCCACAGCATTTCAAAGTCTTATATTTGTACTTCTGTTGTAAAAAGAAGCTGCCTGGGGATTTGACAAGGGGTATGACTAGATGCCCTAAAGGTGAAAAATTACTTCAAGGACAGTTTTTAAAATCAATGTCATTGTTTGTCTAGAATATATTTGCATTGACAGGGGTCTCCCTGCCTTTTAATTCTCTCCAGGGTTAATTACTGCTGTGTCTGAAATGATGTTTTCTTTGACAGTTGAGGGTTTTTTCCCTGAATGTACCCTTCCAGACATCACTTCTTCAGCACTATCTGAGGGTCTGTGGGACTCCCACCTCCCTTTCTGAAGGCAGGCACTAATCTAAGAGAGGGTTGAAGGACATTAAGTGCTCCATTTCGTTTGTTGAGGTGGATCACAGGCAGGTGCCAAGGGCTCTCTCAGACGGGGTTTTGCCTGCCCACAGCCAAAGCAGCATAGCTGTGATCCTGTGCAGGAGCTGCATGGCTTTGCAAGGAACTAAGGGGCAGATGATTGTTCTTCAGTGCTCAGCTGAAAGATTTTACAGGCTGCTGGTGCTTCCTTCAACCAAGAGAAGGGAGAAAAAGTATTGCTAGAGTGTCCTAGGAGCTTGCAGGTTAAGTAGGATTTTTCAGTTTTTTCAGATTTGTGGAAGGGCTTGTGCACAGGGCTGAATAATAGGGCTATGTAGGAAACTTTACTCACGTCTGTTTTAGACTTTCCTGACTCTCCTGACATCCCCTCCCCCTCTCCCTGCAGTTCTCTTCAGTGTGAGCAGGCGCATAATAGCCTTATAATTTCAAATCATGTTCTTCCCCCTCAAATATAAAAATCAGCTCACACTGCAATTAAAGCAAATTGCAGTCTGGGGCCAGCGAGAGACCTGTGGTCCTTTCCTGACCACGCACAGCCCCTGCAGCAGTGCCAGAGCTGTGCCAGAGGGGCGCAGAGGCCGCAGCAGCCGCCGGTGCAGGGCGGGATGCGGCTGTGATTGCTGCCTCGAGAGCTGTTGGCTCTGATGGCAGCGCCCAGCGTTCTGTTGTGCACAGAGAGCTGCAGCTTGTAATTAAAGTTTCGGTACTTGGCCAGGATTTAGCATTAATGCTCGACAGCTGCAAGCTTGTCGATATTCCCCTCACCCCTCCTGGTGGATGTCAGAGCAATTAATGGGGGGAAGGTGTGGAAGAGGAGTGGATGCTGGGCTGCATCACTGCCTGCGGGATAGAGCTGCATGCGCTGCTGTTGCTCCCGTGAGCCTGGCTTGTGCTTCCTAGGCCAGGATTCTGCGCTCACTGGGAAAGCTCTGCTGAGGTCTGTGTGAGTGCTGCATCAGTAAACACTGCAGGCTTTATCCCGAGGCACAGGACAGACAAAATGTGTGGTCCGGTTTCGGCTTCACTCAGAAATACGTGCAGCTAGCACTCTGTGTGCTCGATTTTTGTGGAGCCTGAGTTTATCATCACTGACATTGACTTTATAGTCTTTTAATTTTACTGAGCTGAATTAGCCCTGACTCTTGGAAAGAAGGGTTAGCTGGAAGTCCTCAGCTGTTTTCAAGGAGAAGCTGAGCTTCCTCCTTGAAGAGAGCTCTGGGGAAGCAGAAGTTCTTTTGCTTTAGTCTGGTTTGGTTTTTTTGGTTTTTGTTTTTTGCTTTCTGTGGGTTCGTTGTTGTCATTGTTGGTTTTTTGGTGGTTTTCTTTTTGCATGGTTTTTTTGTTTGTTCTTTTTTGTTTTGGTTTGATTTAGTTTTTTCTGTAGTGAAGTCTCAGGCTTAAGAGAGCATACATTTCCCTGTTGCATTTCTAGAAATAATACCCACAAATTGCCTTCTTCAGTACTTTCCCAATACCTACTGTATGGCTTCTGTTAATTGCATTAGTTGTATTTAAAGTCTAGTCTGCCCTGGAGAAATTATTTCATTTTGTGTTGTCTTTGTAGGAGAGTCTGCACTCTCTGCTGCAGTATAAACAGTAAGAGGTAGAAAAAATTCATGCTGGGGGGTGGGGGGGAAGGGAAACATCATGTCATAGTTAACAGATGTCTTCCTGGCTGATACTGCTAAAACAGGAATTCGTGCAGATTCTTAAATCTCTCTAGAACAGGAACTTTATCTACCAGACTAAGCATTAATTTCTTTCCTCGATTCTCATGTTGACTAGCATATGTACAGACTCGTCAGTGCCCCCCTGGTCTCTCTGCATTCTTTCCAGCAGAAACTCCTTCTGTGCTGAACTACAAAACTCATTCTCAACAAAACTCGAGGCTGATCCTGCAGTACTGCTTCTTTTGTTGGTAACACAGAAGCACAGGAGCATGTTAGCTGGTCACTGTGTGCTGCCAAAACTTGTAGCAGAAGAAGAAAAGCCCAGATCAGCAGCACGTTGACTTTGAGTGACCCATTCTGTAGGTGCATCCCTGAAATATCCATTTATCTGTGCTCAGGGGATACACGTGGAATAGGCTTGGCTACTGAGCTGCAATGTCACTGTGTTGGTTTAATTATATAAAAACAAATTGACATCTCCACACCACTAATAAGAGAAGCAGGTCACAAAACTCTGCAGAGCTGTTGCAGTGCCTGTGTGCCAGGCTGCACTTGCCAGGTACCGCGCTGGTGGCGAGCACAGCCGGGCTGTGTTATTTAATATTAGTCCTCCAGTGTGATTTTAAAATTAGAACTGCTTGCTGCCCTGGCCCTTTGGTCTAACAAAAGCCCTGCATGATGATATAATGCATCTGGTCTGCCGTTCTCTCGTTCTGTCTTTCACAAGGAGCACCAAGGTCAGGCAGACTCCACTTACAGCCAGTGTCCTTCAGTGCTGTCACCCTATTCTTCAAGCTTCTTCTGCAGCTGTATATTAAGTATCTCCAGACTGCTTCTTTATCAGCTACTGACCTTGTACCCAAAAGTCTCAGGGAGCAGAGGATAGAAGTGGTAGATAATCATATATAAATCCTGTGCTCTATGCATTTGATGCTATATTTGGCTGAGACACCAATAAATATCTATTTTGAGAATAATTCCTGAGTGTTAACAATATAAAATAAACTGATGTCCTTCCATGTACTTAATTTCAAAGAGGCAGTTTTGGGACTATTTGCCTTATGAAATTCAAAATCTTTCAGTTTAAGGTCCTTGAATGTTAATAACTTTGTAACAACAGAAACATCTTATTTTAGTCTAGCTTCCTTTTTTAGAATTTTAATTATAATTCAGAATCACTCCCATTTTCCATCACAGTTTGAAGTCTCTTGTCTATCAGGATTTCTCATATATATGCATCATAAGCCATAAGTATATGAAATAGGTTACTGGCAGTTGATAGGTACGTGGCTGGTCATCTATGGGATGATTTACATTAGTCAGAGAGTGCAGAGTTATCGACTTCTTTTCACTTCTTGTGTGGCTGAGACCTTATCAGTGACCTGCCAAAAGTCTGTTTCAGGTATCAGTCTTCAGTCTGCTTTCTGTGAAGTAGATTTGTCAGGGGTACACAGTAACAACATCTAAGAGAGCCTATCATGCATCTTTCATTTTATTCACCTATTTTATTCTGATTTTATCCTTCTTAAGCTAAGAGATAGAGGCATCTAAGGCTAGATCATCTTTTACTGGTTGACTGCCAAAGTAGGATTTATTTTCTACAATATTTCATCCTGCCAGTCTTACCAACCATTTCAGGCATTCTCTCTCCTCCCATATTTATGAAACTATATATACAGCTTTCCTATGAGAAAGCAGCTGCCTGAAAATGCTTGTGAATAACACACGAGCTGAGCTCCAAGTTCAAAACTGCCAGCCAAGCAAAAAGTGTGCAGAGTAGAGACTTGGGCTCAAGCATTTATCATGCTGTCCAGGCATCTGTCAGCTACCATCTATCAAGGTTTTCATTTGTCTTGTGCAGCTTCCATCGCCAAAGTAAAATATACATACACAGATTTGTACACAGAGAACATAGTAGAGCCCACAAAGGAGTATTGCTGAATGCTGAACTGAAATGTGTTCCGTGCAAATAAGCTGTGAGAAACAAGACAGACGGTTCTGGATGACAGAAGTTAAAAACATTGGAGATTAGACTATGAGAGAGACAGTTTAGTAGTTCCCAGTGCCTTGTTCATGTGTCTGACAGCTCTAGGAGTGCAGAGTGCCTGCCTGGTAGGGAAGAATATTATGTTTAAGAAAGTATGTTTGGATGGAAAAAAGCTGTGCTCCTTTTAGGGAAATACTTACAAACCCTTCATAAAATTTTGGAGCATCATTATTGATCAGAGCCCTGACACAGGCAATACCAGAATTGTCCTGGACAGACAGTCATGTGTTTTTCTTCACATGGAACTTTGTGTGGGACATGCAGGAAGCTCAAGGGCAGTGGCCCTAAAACAGAAGAGAAGCTGAGCTGGGAGCAGGCAGAGGAGGATGGCGTTGTGTCCAAGCCCTCCCCTGTCAGATCCCAGCTGGTTCTTGTGCCTTCCTGGACCACCCCAGAGCCTTGCTCCACTCCCTTACTGGTGGGCAGGGGCAGCAGTGGGAGCTGCTGCAAGCTGGTGGTTGTGGCAAGCTGTTTGCACGGCAGGGTCAGGGTTGGGGCCCCAGATTTCTATGTAGCCTCACAAGTGCTGTGCCTCAGCAACAGGGGTACTCAGAAACCTGTTCTGACCTGTGCCTGGTCAGAAACCATTTGAGAGGGTAACTGATTTGATCACTCAACAGATGCTAATTCAATGTTGCTTTTAAACTACCTCTCAACAGATATTTTTAGGGGTATTTTCAGCCTGCTTCTCTGATGGGCAGGGTCCTGCATGCACAGGATGCCTTTCTGTAGGTACCAGCTGGACAAGCAGCATCCTGTTGCTCAAAGTCCAGCTTCTGCAGCAGCTATGAAGGGGAAAAAAATCAAGGGAAAAGAAACCCCAACAAACTTGCACAAATCCTTTTCTTGAGAATAAGGGCAGTTCGCTGAGCTCTCCAGCATGGCACTGACAAGATGAGACAGCTGCCTTAGAGCCAGTGTGTTCAAACATGCTGCCGTTATCCTGTTACATGAATCAAAACCAGCACACAGCAGCTTTCATCTGGATTTCATTATTGTGATTTGTATCGTAGAGACTGTTGTCTCGCAGGAAGCGGCAGTATTCAGAGTTGGAGAGGGGGAGATCCTTATCAACAGGACAAAATTGACAAATCTCTGTGTTTAAAAATAACTGTACCTCTATACTGTTCTCATTTTTAAGCTGTCTGCTTAGTCTCAAGCCTCTGAGCGCTTTGCTTTAAATGAAATTTTTAAAAAGAGCTTTTCTCCTTGTAAAGAGAATTTAGCTGAATTCTGGCAACCCTCCCAGAGGCTGGAGGAGTCCCAGGTAAAACAAGTCGGTGCCTGCAAAGCAGCCATAGGGAAAGGTGCATCCCAGGGGGCTGCTGCTGAGTGGCAGAGCCCAGGGCTCTCTGCACAGTGACCCCCAGAGCCACCCTGACTTGTCAGAGGTGAAAGCAGCTGAAGCTTGCTGTGTGGCACAGCTTCTGTGCCCTTTCTGTTGGGAAGTGGTTTCTGTTGTGCACATAAGCAAAAGAAGAAGATAACCTGGAGAGAGCTAAAGGCAAGTTAATTAAGATAAAATTATGAGCTCTGTGGTAATGAAGAACAAACAATGGGCAGTTAGGTTTGTAGTGAAGCATGAAATAAGGTGTCAAGTAGCTTTATAAGGTAACACTGAGCTCACTGTTCATAGAATTGCCCAAGACAACCAAAAAATACTGGTAGTAACTAAAATAATCTTTACATTTAATAGGATGTATCTGGTTTGTGTCTCTTGGCTCTGTAAGCAAGAGCAGCATGGACCCATATTTCTATACCATGAGTAGCAGACAGCAGTGGTCTAAATTAGATGTGGCTTATTTCAGTGTCCTCTTGTAGCAGTACTGAGAGGAAGCCTCTTAACACATAAAACTCCCAGCATATCTGTGCTTCAGCAGCACCCAGCTTGCTGATGGTCCTTTGGCAACAATACCAAGGAGTAGGCAGGCCAGCTGCAACATCCCAGGGAAAGAAAGGAAAGTTGTTAAGATCTTAATTCTTCTGCTTTAGAGGTCTGAGCCCTGCCAGGTGAGGTGAAGCATGTGAGAAGCTGTCTGCAGTGAAGAGCCCCACACGGTGTGTGCATACGTCCTTCCAGCCTCTGCAGGGTTAAAACCAGGCAGGCCCACACATTCCATTGAAAGCTTTCCCACCAGGGTAGGGCAAGGCTTCTCCTTGCTGTCTTTTCTTCTTTTCCTTTTATTCAGGTGTGGCAGCACATTGCCTGTTTCAGCATCAAGGCAGCTTATGAATTTTTAACCTCAGAGGCACTGCCCTGTCTGCCTGTACCTGCAGTCAGACTCATCCACACACGTGGAGGGAGGCAGGTGTGGCTGAGGAGTGTTGATGTGGCAGAATGGCCCAAGTTTTAAAGCATGTGCATGACCATAACAACACCCTGTGGCAAAAACCTGGGGTTTTCCTCTCTATTTTGTTTGCATCAAATACTGCTGGGCACTATTCAGGGGAAACACATGCTCTGCTCTGTTTTAATTTCCTAATAATTCAGTACCATACCTCATAAATAAAGTCATGAAAAGTTAGGTGTGTTTTACTCTCCTTCATGCTTATTTTGGAAACAGAGAAAACATGATTGGCTAAAGGGAATTATCTGTTTATTGTCTGTTTTCTCTCTAGAGCCATTGCACTTTGTATTCCCCAAGCCCTTCCATATATTATTTTAATGACAGAAAAAAAGCCTGAAAGCATATTCAGTCAGTCTTTTTGGCTGATTTCAATTCCCATAAGGATACATTACAGCAGAGCTCCACCTTCTTTAAAGGCATAACATGCAGCAAGGGTTTCACATACCTCCTTCCACCTCTTGTTTGGTGTTAACAGCCATTTGCCATAATACAAATTAATCAAAACCAGAAATCAGAAGTGAAATATTATTTTATGAGCAAGAGAATGCACTGCACTATCCACTGCTGCTTTCTTACATGCTTGAATCTGGCAGGGGGCTGTATGCTTGGGGACCAGCCTGCCCCCCTGGTGCCCAAGCTGGGGCTCCTCTCCACTTCTGTCCAGTTTTCAGAACTGCTAAAGCTTGGAACAGAATTGACACATTCCCAAAATAAAGGTTGGTTTGCTGTTGAGCTGTGAGATTTTGGCCAGGTGAATGGCAACAGAGGATTTGGGCAAAGTGCTACCTGAACAAAGACTAAGGGAACAAGAGAAGTGCTGGGCACCCACTGATGCAGGGGCTGTGTTGGCCAGGAGAACCCTGTGAAACTTGGGGAGATTCCTTAGGCTGTAACAAAAAGGAATAGGAAGCTCAAAGGAAATAGACTGTACACTTTGAATGTTGTCCTGACTCTTTTGTTCATTTACTGCCTAACTTACCCCAGCATTCCTGCCTTCCACTCTACTGAGTGACCTGCCATATAAGCTGGTTACTTACTTTATTATCAATGTATGCTACAGCAGGCAAGGGTTTGTACCTGTGGTTTCTTTAAAGAATCAACCTGAGAGAAACTCACAGTGGGTCTCAGAATCACATGGAGGTATGCACCAAATATCAGTTATTGTGATGAATTTTTTTTTGCAAGACTTTTGCAAGTCTTGCAAGACTTTGCAGGTAGGTTTCATCCAGCCACATTCAGGATTCTTAAAATCAGTCTTAGCAATACTTAGAGGATGCTAATGAGGTATGTGTTGTTCAAGGCTTGTGCTGAACAGGTCACTTCTTTTGTCAGTCACAAGTAAACAGTTGCCTTTTTTCAGACTTAATTTTCCTGTCTGCTGAAAGTGTTGGGACTGACTGGCATTTGTTTGGCATGTCTTGCTTCTGGGAATCAAGTGATCTTCTTTGTTACAAACTAAAAGAGTGATTCTCTCTTGACGTGTGTTACAGACCACGGTCATAGACTACGTGAAGCCATCAGATCTCAAGAAGGACATGAATGAGACCTTTAAGGAGAAGTTCCCTCACATCAAGCTAACCCTCAGTAAAATAAGAAGGTATGTTGCAAAGCTCCATAAGGCTGCAACGTGATGCAGCTGTTTCACATGTCAGTGCAATTCCTGCTGTACATGGGGGAAGCACAGCACTGATTGATCTTCCAGGAGCAGTGACCAACAGAAGTGCAAAGTCAGATGACTGCCTGGATTACTGGGATGAGTAAACAGGATAGAGGAATGTGCAAACATCTGCTGGTCAGGTGTCAAACACAGCATCTAATGGGATGAGGAATGAGAGCTGGGCATGCACTGTATTAAAATAGCCAGAAAAATAACCCAAGAGTCTCTAAGCTCATGGCAATTGGCTTAAAAAGAGACTGAGGAAAGAGAAGTGCTGCTTTTGTGCCTTGGCCAGAAGCAAAAAGAGGAGTTGGCTTCACAGCAAAGTTGTAATATTCCATCTCTGTTTCTGGTGTAGCAGGCTAGACATATTGCTCCACTGAAGTAATAATAATTTCATTGACCCTAGTGGCCAGAAGGACACTGAGCCACACTGCTCTGTAACCAGACAGGGCTGCAGTACACGGACAGAACTGTCAGTTTGGATTTGACCAGCTGTACTGCTCTGTAACCAGACAGGGCTGCAGTACACGGACAGAACTGTCAGTTTGGATTTGACCAGCCATAACCAGCTGCAAAAGCTGCATACAGAGCACCAGTAATCAAACATTGTTACAAAACAAATGGTATGCAGTGAAGGACCTCTGATAAAATATTGTTGCTAAAATTGTCAGAGCTTTTTTGGTTGCTTTTATAGTTTGACACAACTGTCTCTTGGGGGCAGTGAGGGTCGCTGGTGATGTAAAAATGTGCCATGAAATGTGCCCCCAAAACAGCATAAAGATATCTGCCCAGTAAATTATATTTTCCCTTCCATTTGACTAAGCAGGAATCTCTGAAAACATGGCTCTTAGGGTGAAATGAGAAATGCTTTAAAACTCATCTCACAGCATACTTGTCTGGTCTCTTTACTCAGCTTGAAGAGAGAAATGCGCAAGCTTGCTCAAGAAGAATGTGGTTTTGAAGAGCCCACAGTGGCCATGGCCTTTGTCTACTTTGAGAAGCTCGCTCTCAAGGGGAAGCTGAACAAGCAGAATAGAAAGCTTTGTGCTGGAGCTTGTGTTCTTTTAGCAGCCAAAATTGGCAGTGACCTCAGAAAACATGAAGTCAAGCATCTTATAGATGTACGTATCCATAGGTTTCCGGTGTTCCATCCATGTGAAGTGCAGTGTGTGGTCTGTGCAAGCCTGTTAGTGGACATGCTCTTTTTTATGCTTCCAGATGTACAGCCAGCTAAATATCTTTTTTTGTTATGCATGTTTATGGAAGTAGTAGTGATCAATATCCCTGCAGAGGCATGGGAAACTTGTTTGATGGGCTAGAAGGCCCTGGTGTCAGATACTGTGAGGTTTGAGATGTATATGACCATCATTTTGTCAATACAAGGCAACAGGTGAACCCTCAGGAAATAAATTTTGCTTTTAATGATGTTTTCAAGAGTGTCAGTAAGGATTCTCCTTTGGGAATTAAATGCAGATGCTAATTTCAGATGGAGTCCGATAGACATTTGTATTTCTTTTATCAAGTTCAGCTTTTGGACAAAAAACCTAAGGAGGTTTTCCCATTAGAGCACCTCACTCCAGACGTTTTTTGCAGAGTAAGGTGTTTGGTCTTCTCTGTACTCCACATGAAAGAGGTAACATGAGGGTGTTGTGCCATAATCCTCTGCAAGCACTGAGGTACCAATCTGATTTAATGCTACAGAAAGTTAGGCTGATGTCTTGGTATGTGGCTACAACCAGCTCACTCAATGGAAGAGACATGGGATTGTGGATGGGAGCAGGACTGGACCCATGCCCTCCTCCCACAGTCACAGAGCTGGGTTGACAGTCAGTTTGTTAGAAAGCCCTCTGAATAATCGCAAAAAAATCAGCCAAGTGGGAATTGGGAGATCTGGCCTCTCTTAGTGTCTTGAAACGTTGGTCCATAAGACATTGAACTTTGCAGTAGACCTGGGGGGCAGAGAAGTAGCAGGCCAGTGAGATCCTAAGAAGAGAATGAGGGGGAAATATCCCTGAGCAACTGGTTGCCTACTTGTAGCATCCAAATCCAGTGAAAACAGCAGAGCTGTTTAGTTTAGTTTAGAGGGAGGTTAGTACATCACAGCACAAAAACAACGATAAAACCCATCTCATTCCCCCTGAGGACAGCAGTTTCTATTACTCACTGTTCTTACGACACCTTCTGCCTCTGAAGTATTAAGATCAAATTGTGGCAAAATAATTTCCCCAAAAGGGCGTTGTAGCACAGTCTAATGCTGAAAGGAAAACTAGTGATTTCAAGCAGTGCAGGAGGTTTCTGGACAATTACAAGATGCATGTCTTCCATTACACAAGTGATTTTGATGTTTGCATGATGCTAGGAATTTCCTGTTGCTGCAGTGGTAATCACTGTGATTGTTAGAAGATGTATCTGCTCACAGTGGAATGAGTGAAGTGACGAATGTGTCAGAAATAGCATGGCTGGCTGAGCTCTGTGAGTTCACCTTCACAGTAAGGATTCGGAACATCTAGTTCACACAGCTCTGATTTTCTAAACCTAGAGCCATGCAAATCCATCAGGACGGAAGTTTAATGATAGCAGCATGAGTGTTTTGAATAACGCCATTTGTGGCAAAGCTCTAAAAGGCAAACCCTCATTCTGTTTTTCTTCATTTATATTTTTTCCCCTCGGCTGTGGTTGCAGAAACTGGAAGAGAAGTTCCGGCTGAACAGGCGGGAGCTGATCGCCTTCGAGTTCCCGGTGCTGGTGGCCTTGGAGTTTGCTCTCCACCTTCCCGAGCACGAAGTGATGCCGCACTACAGACGCCTGGTGCAGAACTCCTAGCGCCGGCTGCCCGGCGGGGAAGGGGCTCCCGACTGTTCCCGCTTGGCTCTCCCAGGCCGCAGTTACTACTGGAAATGCAAACTCCTAACACTTCACTCTCTCTCCCCCCTCCAAAACAGTTTTTCTGGCTACAGGAAATACTGCGTTGACTCTTGGCTTTGACGAATTTATGTATCGTTACTTTCTCAAAGCAGGTGAAGACTGAGCTGTTGGTAAATAGTTCACGTGCTGAAACTGGGTGGCAACTGACCCTACCTGTAGGGACTACAGCTGTAAAAGTAGGCAGAAATTAGAAGGGCAGCCTCCATGACCACCCCTCTGTCCATCACACAAACCCTGGAAGCCCACTGAGTGCATTCTCGTAGCGCTTTTTCTACAGACCTGCTGCAAATTCCAAGAGAACTTCTTAAAGTGAAAAAAGCTTTTAAAGAAGATATCTTCACTGTGTCAAAAAGAATGTGCCAATCTATTTTTGTATCAGCAATTGAAAGTGCACTTTTTCCTGTGGGGTATTTGTGTGTGTATCCGTGTGTGTGTGTGTGTGTGACACCGAACTGATCTCAGTCCGGGTGGTTGGCTTAGCTGTTTCCAAGTGTATCAGTTACTGATGGTGAAGATCAAGGTGACCTTACACGTTTACTCCTTGAAAAATGTAACTACTGGAAAAGTGGCAAATGGGATCATTGTTGGACACTTGGGTTTTTTTATTCTCTGATCTTTCCAACATTGTACCTTTGAAAGGATTACACTACTACTACTGCGAGAGAAGGATCAGCAATTGACCTTAAGTTTTCAGTCATGTTTGTGGTAAAGATGAAAGCATTAGTATAAGATTTCCGTGTCATGTTTTTTAAAAATATCTTGTGTTAAGCCACATGCATATTTTTAACCTTCGCACTTTTCCCACTGTGGAGATGGTTAGACTTGCACTCTGTAGTGTTGTATTTCTGTGCTCTATGTTAGAGTGCGTAATAAGCACATTTATTGTGCTTTATCTTAAAACAGTGTTTTATTAAAAAAAAAGTGTAGGGCTCAGCAATGTAACGGGTGTCTTAAGGCTCCAACAGCAGGGGCATCAGCCATTATACTTCTGGGGTTTTAATTAGGATTGGCTGTGCAAAACCTAAAATCTGTGCCCATTGAGATTCAGTTCCTTTAGACACTGCAGTGCTGGAGTTTTATGGTAAAACTTCTTGCAGCTTCCCTGGTTCTGACTGGACACCCAGAAAGATTAAAGGCTTTATCCAAGCTCCTGATGCTATATCCACACTAAGCTAATGCCATGCTGATGGATATTGTTCAGTTGCTGTTATCATGTGGGATTCCACCCCTGTCCAGTCTTCTCCTGTGCTGGTTCACTTAACAAGCCTTGTCCTCAACATGCCCCACATGGATCTGCTAAAGTCAAGTTATTACATTTGTGGTAATTATAAAATAAATAATAGTCTCAACTGTGAGATTTCAGCTGAAGCCTTACCTCTCTAAGTTTGGGAATGCTTGCTCAGAGTATAAAAAGGGCTTGTGAGCAGAACATAGAGAAGTGGGACATATCAGAGGATGCGAACACACTAATGCTTACTTTCTTTCACTGTTACTTTAATCAGTTTTATTATTTCCTTCAGTTAAGCCAGGAAACATCCAGTTTCTTTACCAGCTTTGACTCTTTTAAATTCTAATATTAAAAAAGCCTGCATACAATTGCTCTACAGGATCTAGCAAGGTTACACATCAGGACAAATGGGAGTTTGTTTGATGCTGTTGCTCTCCCCCATTCTAAAGGGGAGGGTGACCATGCTAGCTTGCAGTTATTAGTAATACTTACCTGAATACTGATATAGATACATTCCAACAGGATTGGGGAGGAGGGGGTAAAGAGAAAAGTATGCACTTAAACCTTCCCAGTGTAACGTCCCATGTCGCTGCAACCGATGCGTCACTCAGCCAGCTGCAAAGTGAGGGGAGGGGGGGAAATTTTACTCCCTCCTCCTCCTCCTTCTCCTTCTCCTCCTTCTCCTGGCCCCCACACAGCCAAGGAGCAGTGGAGCCAAGAGCCTGGAGTGCACCTGGAGCCTGCAGTTGCCTCCTCCTTCTCCTGGCCCCCACACAGCCAAGGAGCAGTGGAGCCAAGAGCCTGGAGTGCACCTGGAGCCAAGTGCAGTTGCTTTGCTGGTTTATTCAGACCAAAAAGGCAGTGCGTGTGGTGTGGACCTACGATCCAAAACAGTTTGTGGGTCAGATAGGAGGGCTTTCACCCTTGGCCGTGTCCCTTTCCACCCAAATTGTGTATATACATTCAAGATTCGTTTCTGATTGTGGACATCTGTTTCTAATGGCAGCCACTCAAGGCTAAGCAGAAGCTTTACCTTTCCACGAAGGCTTCTACCTTTTGCTTTTGAGTCTGATTTTTTTCTTATATTGCTTTATAGCATTGCAGGGAAAAAGCAAATTGTGATTGCAAGATGCAGACTAAAGAATGACAGTCTTGGAGTAGTCTTTAGAGATGCTATTGAATCAAGCTGTCACATCTTTTGCCTTCTGTGCTGCTACCCAGCCCTGATCTACAGTTTACACAGATTTCTGGATGAAATCTGATTGCTGGAGACTTTCTGCTTCTCATTGTTATTGCTGTTGTTTTGGGGGCGGAAAAGGGTTTCAGAGTGATGTTCAGTTACAGTTTGAATGTGGAATAAACACTTAAGGTGGTGATGATGTTGCACTGTTTACTTAGGAACGTATATAAAGCCATATGTTGCTAGATCTCAGAGCACAAAGCTTGGTCAGTACAATTATGATTAGGACAATGGGCAGGATTTGCCCCCCTTTTCTGCCCAACCCTAGGAAAATTCAGGCTGAAGAGGTAGAGAAAATCTGTACCAAACAGAAAACATGTTGATTGTTTTCCTTTGTCTTACATGGCAATGAGTGTTGATTTACATATGATTTTAGGTTCAACTTTAAATAGTTTGGGAAAATAATCCATTCCATATAACTTCTTCTGTTTTGAAATTATATGCCGTACACTCTACCATGCAGAGTTACTCCTTTTCTAAAAAAGAATGAATAAAAGTTTTAAAAAAATTGAAAAACTGACTGTTTTTCACCAGTGACAATATGTAAAATTATTCTGTCTCTCATCTGTCTGTGAAAAGGGTTTTGGTTTTGTCTCCCCCTGGGACACACAGCTGCTTATTAATAAGCCAGTGGTGGGCTTGCCAAAGGACCCTGGCCATCTCCTGGTGTTCAGCTCCCTGCAGAGCCCTCACTTCAACATTTTCCATCCATTCAAGATCATAACCTTCTTCCCAGACCACTGTTTTGGATTTGCTGGGATTTTAAGCACTTCTTTTTTGGCACCACCTGGAGCTGCCAGAAGCAGGGTGTCTGAGTCCCAGCTGTTGGTATGCCAGAGGATGAGGCACAGGCAGGCTCTTCAGCATTGTTTGTATCCTATGACCCCTTGTTCACAAGAGAATTTGGAATACACTACTTTGGGTTAGTCCAGGTGGTGGTAAAACTTACAACCAGCCCATGTGCCAGTTGTAGTTCGCAAGCAGCTGCTTCCTCTCTGGAGGCTGGAAGTTGTGTTTTGGACATTGGTGTGTTGCACAGCCAATTGCCCACCATGTGTTTGCATTCAAGCAATGTTTTTTACACCTATGACACCCTCTAAATCCAATGCCTGTGTAGGTGGTCTCATCAAACACACCCATTTACTTGTAGTTTCGTTCCATGTTAATAAAATTATGGGGAAGGTTTGCCTCCCTACCTTTACCCATCACTCCAGAGAGCCACAGCTTTAAATCATATTTGTGACAATGTGAACATTACCATGATTTACACAGACTCCAGAACATGCAAACATACAGAAAAATACTTAGCAGTCGTTTTCCTAAACTACTTATTAACTTGCAATGGCTTATTTGGGATAGTTTCTAACATATCTAAATGATGCAACTTCAGCTAATTGCTCCAGCCTCCTAAAATACAGAGCATGAGACTTGTGTGGAAGCAGTGAGGAGTGGTTTGCTAAGAGATGATTGCACCTTCCCACGATGCTAAAGGATTTTGGCACCAGGCCCCACAATAAACATGTAAAAATACACAAACAAGGTAAAAGTAGTTGAGCGAGGCGAGAGACTGAGCAATCAGAGTTACAATGCCAACGTCACTAGCTGAGACTGAAATCTGTCCCAGGTTGCACCTTTGGGAAGGGAGGAGAGTGTGGGAAGCAGATTTGAACTTAATTTGTTCATCTGCCACTGTAAACTCTGTACTGAAGAGGGAGGAAAAAAAAGGGAAAAAAGCATCAGGTGCATCCTTTCACAGAATACTGTGTGCAAAGCAAAAAGGCCTTTGCAAAATCCTAAACTGATGAGAACCAGTATCAGGCAGAGACCCCCACCTCAGCCTGGAACCTGATGGTCCACATGAGCTCAGAGGAGAGCTCGTCAGTCCCTGGAAAAAACCAGCAAACATACACCCTGCCCAGACCCAGCTGCAAATACCAGGACCACCCGAGAGAGAGGAGAAGCAGTGCTTATAGCATGGTACTGGGAAAGAGCTGGAACCATGATCCTGGAAAATGGCCTGCACACCTTCAAAGCAAGGCAGGGGTGAACCAAGAAGTTGCTGCTGACTTGAGCATCAAACACATCCTGCCCTTAACAAGATCTAAATATTGGCTGTTATCGTACATTGCCTTTCCTACATATTTGTTCATCTCTCCTGTCTTGCACTCCTTTCCATAACCTTGCTAAACATTATCTTAAGCCAGCTAGGACACTTGCCTCTGTTACACTGTTTAGTCAGATGCTCCAGGGCTTAATTCCTCAAAGCTGAAGAAGTCTTCCAGTTTGCAGTCAGATTTCATTGGTGACCAGTTTGTACCTTTTTGCATTCATGTTAGTATTTCATCTAACTTGAAACTGAAATCTCTCCCCTAAGTGAACTCTGGGGTGTGGTGTTCCTTAGTAGCAGTCCTTAACAAAGTTTTGGAATTTAGTTAAGCAAGACACTAAAAGGAGAGAGTAGAGGCAAGAAAACCAATCCTCTCCCAGGGGCCTCCAAGTGTAGTGAAGTGTGGTCTTGGTTAACATCAATGGGTACAACCACTGGGGAAGAAGCTGTGCAAGTCAGGTTTTCAGAAACACTGACACAAGACCTAAGCTTCCCTCATTTTCAATGCAGCAGCATCCATGAGGAAGCCTTTATACCCTTCTATCCCTGCTTTCACCCAAAGGGCAAATTTCCCTCTTCTCCATTGCTTCCTTTTACCAACAGCTGGAGGATTTTTACTCTTGAGAGTTAACTGGGAGAGCAAAAGGATGAAGAGGCAGAAGGGTTTAATTACAAACCAGTACTAAATCACCCATGTTCAAAAACAAGGACTGGTTTACCAGGAGTGGGTTCTGTTCATTGATTTAGGTGAGGAGTATTGGGGTTTTCTCTTAGACAGAGCTTTAGCTAAACTTTTCTTTAGGCTTAAGCAAGGGTTTGGAGACATCTATACTAACTTAAGCCACCTGTTCTTCCCCTGTTGGTGTACCATTTATGTTGCCCACAGGGATGAACTGTGCTAGGTTTTTACAAAGGACAATGGCAGTGTTTCACAGCACAAAAATGACAGGCATGACATCAGCTTTTATACTCCCACACCAGAAGACTAAAAGAACCAACCCTGTTCAGGTCCCCAGGTTTCTTCCCATCTGTTTGTGTATCAGGAATCCCTGGGAGCGCACAGGTCTCAGCTCTTTCGCCTCATCTCACACTTCTCCAATCATCACATACATCCAAATTAAAATAAAAAGGAGGTAAGATGGCAAATCTCAACATATTTATAGAGTGATAAGAAAAGAACAAGCTCACCAAACAGTAAGCACAAGACTTTTATGTTGGTTTGCTCCCTTCTTGCAAGGAATGCTCGTGGCAGTCACTGGCTGGGGAAGCAGCACACTCGTGAGGCCTCCCCCAGCCCTTCACAACTCAACATGCTGTTAACTGAACAGCCACTCTGGATGGGAGGGAAGATAACATGCCAGGAATAGATTCAGAAGAATTGCAGAGCTGAAGAGTCTGACAGGCTGCGTGAGGGAAGGAGGAATGGTTTGCAAAATTATAAATATGCAGAAAACAACAGGAGGCTGTGGTTTCTAGTGGCATTTTTTGTTGACAACCAAAGAAGCCTGAATATTGGGGTGGGAGTTTTGTTAAATAAGAAAAAAACTACTGGAGAAAGTAGCTGTGAAGTTTAAAAAAAACACATAAGACACTTTTATTTCTAAACTGTTCTGATCCCACTCAGGTGAAAAAGACTGAATTGCTACTATTTGAGTTGGATTAATGCTCTAGACCACACTGTTCCCCCAGTCCCTTGCCACTTGCCAGCACATCTGTAACCAGAAGCCTGAGCCCCAGACACCTTCTTCATGTTGGCCTGCATCTGTGAGTGAGAGCTCACAGCTCAGAGC